TAGACTCCCCACTGAGGGGATATATCTTATCTGCATCTACCCTGTCTCTTTAAGTATTTTGTAGGTTTCAATGAGATCTCCTGTCAGTTTCTGAAGCTCTAGATAATAAAGGCCCAGTTTGTTGAATCTCCTTCATTGGACAGTACAATCATCCCGGGAACAAAATGGTGTATAAAGTTTTTGAGAAGATTTGTAGTTCAGGTTGTGGATGAGGTGTAGACTTGCTCGCCGAGCCGGTGTGTCTGATTGCAGATGTTTCATCACCCTGCTAGGTAATATCGTCAGTGCACCTCCGGTGAAGCGTTGGAGTTCTGTCTGGCTTGTTAGTTATATGCCTCGGTGTGCTGGGGTAGTTGGCATCACTTCTGGTTCTGTTTTACAGTGGTTTGTATATCAGGTCCAGTTCAATATGTTTGTTGATGGAGTTCCGGTTGGAATGCTTGGCCTCCAGGAATTCCTTTGCATGTCTCTGTTTGACATGTACTATTATGGATGTGTTGTCCAGTCGAATTTGTGTCCTTCTTTGTCCACGTCTATTGAGACCAGTGAGAATTGATCGTGTCTCTTGGTTGCTAGTTGGTTTTCATGTATCCTTATTGTCAGTTTTCTTCCAGTTTGGTCTATGTAATGTTTCTGACAGCCCTTGCATGGTATTTTGCATGTTACGTTAGTTTTATTGGGTGTGGATATGGGATCCTTTATGTTTGTCAGTAGCTATCGCAGTGTGGTTGTTGGTTTGTGGGCTACCCTGATTCGTAGGGGTCTGAGTAGTCTTGTGTCATCTCTGATATGTCTCTGATGTACAATAAGGTGGTTAGTGTGTCTGGCTGTGTTGTGTCTTCTTCTTGTGGTCTGTCGAGGAGGTAACAGCGAATTGTGCTTCTTGGTTATCCATTCCTTTTAAAAAATACTCTGTATAAGTGCCCCTGTTCTGCTTTGTGCAATTCCAGGTTGCTGCAGTGTGTTGTGGCTCATTTGAATAATGTTGATGCAAGTCCGTTTATGGGTGTTGGGATGGTTGCTGGTGTAATTAAGTATCTGGTCCGTATGTGTGACCTTTCTGTATACGGGTATCATTATAGGTTTTCATTGACTTAAAATTCCATGAACTGCAGCATTGTAACTGGTGAACCTTACCTAGGTTTAGATTATGGGTTCAGTAACGCTATTACTCCGGTGACTGTGTTGCCTACGCACAGACACGCAGATTCTACTGAACTTTTGCTCCATTTGTGACGTACTTTATATCCAAAGTTTCATTTTGATGTCAAGTCACTTGTGGATAACACATCAACTGACTTCTTTTTAACAAAAGCCCACAATCTACAAATGGGATGAACAACGGTAAAGAAAAACATGGATTAATAAAGCAGTTTTCACAACCAGATGTCTCAAACCTACAGCCATTTAGGTACTTTTGAAACAAAACAAATTGCTGGAGAAACTCAGCAGGTCTGGCATCTATGGGAAGAAAACCAAATTAATGTTCTGAGTGTAGTGATTCTTCATCAGAACTGTTAGCAGCTCGGAAAAGGTAATATTTATGCTGAAGCTGAAGTTGGGGAGGGGAGAACTGACTGGATAGGTGGAGGTGGAGCCCAGAAAGAGAGAGATCTGAAAGGGGTAGGTAAACAAGGAGATTATGAATAGCAGGCCATGACAGAAGAAAATCTGAATAAAAGCTAAGAATAGGAGACAGTGAGTGAGCTTCGGAGATAGCAAGAACTGCAGGTGCTGGAGTCATAGTCGATACAGTGTGGAGCTAGAGGGGTCTAGGACCGAAACGTTGACTCTCCTGCTCCTGTAATGCTGCCTGACCTGTGAGTCAGCTTTACTGATTGCAATCCATATAATGAATAATGGGCTGAGGAGTGATTGAGAATGGGTGATTTTGCTAAAAGCAACCTATAGTAAAACAGGAACTGGGCGTAGTTTGCATTAAAAAAACATGGAAAGATGGAATTAAGCTCTCAAGTTGTTGAACTCAGTGTCGAGTCCTAGAGGCTGCAGGGTCCCCAAGCAGAAAATGAGATATTGTTCTTCAAGCTTGCACTGAGTCTCGCTGGAACATTGCAGCAGGCCTGCATCAGAAATGTTGGTGTGGGAACAAAGTGATGTGTTGAAGTGGCAGGCGACTGGAAGCTCAGGGTCACTTTTGTGGACAGAACAAAGGCGTTCTGGAAAGCGGTCATCTTGTCTGCATTTTGACTCCCCAACATAGAGGAGACCACATTGTGAACAGCGAATACGGTAGGCTAGATTGAATGAAGCAAAGGTAAATTGCTACTTCACTTGGAAGGTAGGTCTGGAGATGGTGAGGAGGCCAGAAATAAATAGTCAGATATTATATCTGAAATTGCCATGGGATGTGAGGAGATGTTGGGAATGGAGGAGAAATGGCCCAGAGTGCCCTGGAGGGTCCGGTCCCTGCGGAATGCCGACATGGGAGGGGAGGGGAATATGTGACTGAGGATATGCAATTGAGGCAACTATGGGAATCAGTGGGTTTGTAGGATATATTGGTGGCCATTCTGTCCTTAGAAATGAAAAAAGATGTCAAGGAAGGATGGGAGGAGTCAGAGAAGGACCAAGTGAAGTTGAGGGCAAGGTGTATATTGGATACAAAGTTTCCAGTTTAGAATGAGAGAAGGAAGCAGCACTGATAATGTCACTAATATACTTTTAAAGTTTAGTCAAGTATGGGAAACCTGACATTCAGCTTGTGCATAGCAACAGTGCGGTAATGACCTGATAATGTTTCTGTGCTGTTGTTTAAGCGATAAATATTGGGCAAGGGATGACTTCCTGTTCTTTCAAAAAAGTGCTTTGGGATCTTTTACATCCATTTGAACAGGCAAATGGGACTTGAGCTAAATATCTCATTTGAAGGTCAACACCACTGACCATACAGTACTTCATCAATCCTGCACTGAATGTCAGCCAGGATTAATGTGCTTAAACTCTGGAGTGGAATTTGAACCTGAAAGTATTTGTTTCAGAAGTGAGAGTGCATTGAGCTGAGCTGCAGCTGACATATATTGTATCTTTGTTGGCTGAGGTGGTAATGCTGATCAAGACCTTGGGAAAATTCTGTACTGTTCTTTAGAGAGTACCACAGGATTATATACGTTCATTGGAAACACCAGAAGAGGCTGACAGGGCCTTAGCCGAAGGACGACAGCACTTGTTCAGAATGCTGGCGTAGATGTTGTTTCCAAGTGCTGGAGTGAGACGTGAACTCACTACTTTTCAGACTATGAGTTCTGGGAAATGATTCGAAGAGACATTTACTAAGAAAAGGTGTGAATCAGTCGAATCTTTTTGTTTTGCCAATATTACAAGGATTTGCTAAAATCAAGACTTAGAATTTAATAAACCTAAAAAGTAATTTCTTGATGATATAAATACAGGTTATGGAGCCACAAAACAGAATTACAGCTCAGCTTTTGTAGGTAAAAAGAAAAATAACCTTCCATTTTATATAACACCCTTCATACCTCTGAAGGCCCCATCATTAATTTAGTAATTTTGAAGTATAATCACTTGTAATGCAGGGAAATGTGACAGACAATCTGCGCCCAGAAAGATATCACAAACTACAATAAAAATCAAAGTAATTTATTATAATGGTGTCAATGGAAGGATAACATTGACCAAGAGAACCTACTGCTTCACATAGTGTCTTGGAATCTTTCATTTTCTTGAGAGCACAAGTGAGGCCTTGATTTAATTTTTGATTCAAATGTTGAGACATCAGACAGATCAAGAATCCCTCAGTGCTGCACTGAATCACAGTTGAGGTTATGCATTTAATAGGACCAGGACAACCTTTGAGAAAAGGTAACCCTCCAGTATTTTGTTCAGTTGTGATTGTACACCTAACGTTATAGTGTAAAGCACCTACTTCGCACATATTCTAGCAAGATCTCAGGAGTGAATAATTCCCAGAGTAATTCTGCCTTCAGTGAGGAAGAGTCACCAGACTTGAAACATTAACTCTGATTTCTCCCCATTAATAGTGCCAATCCTGCTGAGTTTCACCAGCAATTTCTGCTTTTGTTTTAGATCTCCAGCATCTGCACTTCTTTGTTTTATAATTCTGGCTTTGTCACCCAGCATTTTGACTGCCATAAATAGAACTGTTTAATTGCACATTGGGTGCAGCAAGTATTATGAAATACTATTTTATTTCATGTGCTCCATGTTTGATGGAGTAGAGATTTGTAATAGTTGTACCTCCACAGAATAAGAAAGCACGTGGACCTTTAAAAACTATTTGAAATGAAAACTAAATTGCTCAATTTGTTTCCTGGTGACCCACCCTGAGCTCTTTGGCTCCCGGTGCTTGAGGTTTGCCCATTCAATTTAGAAATGACTAGAAATGGTTCGTAGTTACCCGTTGCAAAGCTGCATTCATTTTTATTTAAAGCACCAATACAGGACTCCTTTGTTCAGTTCTTATTTCAATGGTTGTCATTAAGTGTTGTGCTTGAGTTGGAGCCGGTTAGAATGTCTTTCAACAGACTCCAAATTACAGATCTGTATTTTAAATAAAAATGCTCAATTGCTGAGATTTTTTTTGAAACTACTTTCTTAAACTACTGTTTTAAAAGGGACCTTTTTGGACAGTTTGAAAAGCATACTTTGATTTTGGAAATCTGCTGTAAAAATAGAAATTAGATGACAGTCTTTACAGATTTTGACCTTTGTTGGAAATTACAATGTGTGCATTAACCTCTTTCTCTTCCACCTTAACCTTAACATTTGATCATTTCTCGTAAAAATACAGGTGTCTTCAGTAATGAGCTTTTAGAAAAAAATGTGAATGAAGAATATTCGTACTCCTCACTTTTGGGATATAACTTTCAGTCACCTGATTGTTTACTGTAGCATAAATAATAAACATTTAAAGTTGTACACAGTAGTATAATCAGTTTTCAATTTGTTACATGAAGTGTACATTATGTTTTATTTTGATTATATTTGTTTTTATCAATTAGCAAGGTGACTATCATGGAAGATACTGACCAACACATTCACCTTCGGAATCTCTCCCTTCACCAAGCGAACAATGAGGAAGAATCTCTCAACCTGCTTTTCCTCGGAGATACAAACCGAATGATTGCAGAGGTAGGTGCTTTTGAAACTCATGTTCAGTGACACTTAAGAGAGTTTCTCAAAGCGAGAATGATCAACATGTAGAAATCAATCGTTTGTAAGGGCAGTGAAGGTGAAAAACTGTAGAATCTTTTGGAATCTATGGTATGCTGTGATGGAAGGATTATTGGCTTTTTCTGGATGGTGAATCAAGATGAGCCTGACAGCCTTTCACCTGCATTGCTAACTTTAGGTTGGAAGGGCCATGTATTTTTATTTTGTATTCTTAAAAAGTGGGGACTGAGATGAGAAAGAGGTGTTTTAAAACCAGTATTTGAAAGAGTAGCTGAAGTTTTAAAAGCAACTAACCTGATACCCGTTATGCAACACCTGTTTGAATAAGCATTATTGAAATTGCATTACAGGCGATTTGGAGACAAGGAGATATACATATGCACCTATTGCTGGTAACAAGAAGTTTTATAGATATATGGACTAGTAACCGATTTTCAATGAGAAAGACCTTTTTGTCTGCCAACAACTGTGTGATTGGTTCTGAGGTAGTGAACAACTTGGAGCCAGGAACAGGTTATAGACAGACAGAGAGAGAGAGAAAGTGAGAGGTGTTCATTTCTTCCCCAGATCAAGAGTGGTCTCCCTGTAATCTGCAGTCAAAACTCACTGTAAACCTGCAGAAATCATTTTATCTTTCCTGCAACACTTGTTGTATGCTGTGAGTTATAAATGGTAAGTCAGAGACTTGTTATAAGTATACCAGCCATAAGTGTCTCTTACCAAACAGTAGAAGCAACTGGAGCAAAATAATTGAAGCTAAGTGCTCACCAACAGAAAGGTCCTAAAGAAAATCTCATCAATCGTCCTTGGGAACAAAGACTACTGAACTGTGTTTCTATTCTTTACCCTCTGCCCAAATTATTTAACCCTGTCTATTTGTTCTGAGGAAGGGTCACCAGACCCAAACGTTAACTCTGTTTTTTCCTTTCACAGATGCTGCCAGACCTGCTGAGCTTTTCCAGCAGCTTTGTTTATGTTCCTGATTTACAGCATCCGCAGTTCTTTCAGTTTTTATTATTTTTAACCCTGTCTGTTTGTTGTGTGTGTGTGTGTGAGCTTTCATTTGTAGTGTTAAGTGCTGCTGACGGTTTATTACTGTTTATCAATAGCTAGATTCCGATTATTTATAATAAATAGTGATTCTTGATCAGAACAGAAACCTGCTATGTGCTTTCTATCAATCTCGGTCTGAAAGTCAGGTACATTTTTGAGTACTTTTTAAAAAATCTTTATCTTTTGTGATTAGTTTGAGAGTCAAAGGGCTTGATTTCCAGTGCACCACCCCAATGAGTTGTAGCAGTAACAGCTTCCTGATTTTTTTGCTGCTCATTTGAGCTTCAGTGTGTATATTGTACGATGAGTCTTGTCTGTTCTTTCAGTTAGTATTCATGATACCGAGAGGTGTCAATAAATTGAGCCATGATAATCCAGTTAATTCTGTAACTGTGGAGCGGGGCTTCGGGATAAAACTTAGAAGTTGGGAAATTATCAAGCAAGTCAGCCTTAATGACAGAGGATAGTTCGACGAGGGAAGAAGCATAATAGGGTTTGATAGTGCAGGACTCAACAATTAATCAGCACCCTATTTTACTGGTGAGTGCTAGAAAATGACTTTAGCAAACTCATCTCTCTTTTCAATGAAATTCATAACAGTATCAAAAACTGGATAGGTATACGACAGAGGAAGTCTCATTTGATACCTTCATGCTGTAAGGCTAGTCAGATGAATTGATCAGTATCTTTCTGTCCCATTCCTCTGTTATTAAGACCCCATCTTTTCCAGAATATTGTATGAAATGGCAGAGCAGGTCAAAAGGGTGAATTCCTATTCCTGCTTCCTGTTATGTTCTAATTCTTAGAATCATAGAATTCCTGCAGTGTGGAAGCAGGCCATTTGGCCAGTTGAGTTCACATGGCCCCTTCGAAGAGCATCCCACCCAGACCCAAACCACCACCACCCGCACCCTATCCCCGTAGCCCTGCATTTCCCATGGCTCATCAATAGTCTTTGGGAACAATGCCCCTGGACACTATGGGCAATTTAGCATGGCCAATCAACCTAACCTGCAGATCTTTTGGACTGTCGGAGGAACCCGGAGCACTTGATGGAAACCCACGCGGACATGGGCAGAATGTGCAAACTCCAGACAGTTGCTTGAGGCTGGAATCGAACCCGGGTCCCTGTTCTAGGAACTATGAATTGTCACAAGTTACTACATAGTTTGCTGTTAGCACTGCAAAAATTTCAGCTTGCGCTTAATCAGTCTCCAGGCTTTGTGAAATTGCTGCATTTTCAGTTTAATTGTGGGTTAAACTCGATGTGGAAAATTAGGGCTAATAATTAACAGCGTATGTACCTTTTTAATAAAGAGATTTTTATGTTCTTGGAATAGGTCTTCAACCCAGGGAGTGAACAATTGAAACCATGGTCTCTAATTCTGTACGTGTTAAACTTTTGTAAGAACCATTTTAAATTTCAGGTAATTTAACTTTTTCTTTCTTTCTTCCTTATGCTTTTCAAACAATCTTCCTAAATCCAATTTTTGTTTCCAAATTTCTGTCCTTGATTTGCCTCTAATTTTCCATATTGTCTGTTATTTCTTTGTTTCTTTCTTGGCTCTTGATTTCTGGAGGTTAAGGTTCATTAAGGTACCAGATGTTCTCTTGCCATTGCCACACTGTTATCAGCTCCCATAGGGCAAAATGTTCTCTAACTAAAAGGGGAAGGGGAAAAGTGGATCTAGTGGGGTGGCTGTGAGATGTCCCATTCCAGAGAAAGCAGGTCTATGAATTTTTGTTAAAAAATAATCCATCTAATTTATATTTGAATGAGTAACTTTTACTATCTCCCTATCAACGTAAAACCAAATAGTTGTCTTGTGTCATTGGTCGGCATTTTACAGCTCTTGGAATTTAATAGTTACTACCGTGACTTCAGATCATTCACTGTATCACCTAATTGCCCTTGGATAGGCTGCACAATCAGTATGGAATAGTTTCAGTGACATTTCTGGCAGAGGTAACGATTGGTTGTGAAGTGGCATGGAGGTCAGCTCTGCTTTACCATGTTTTTGTGCTTCCATTTCTGCTTACCACACTCCTCCCCACTGATCGTCTTTTTTCAAACATTCTCTTGATTTCAATTTATTATAATATTCTCTAATTATGCCTTTCATTGTCACACACTAATTTCATTTTTAAAATTGCTTTACTCTGAAGCACTTTAAAGGTCACACTGCTGTTTTATGTGTGCCAGTCTGAGTGTGTTTTCAATGCTTTGTCTTGTTCAATTTCTTTTTTAAAGTGCTATTTATCTGTAATATCTTCCAGTTCATATCAAGTTTCCATACATGAAACATCGACTTGTCATTTCTCTCCACAGATGCTGCCTTTTCTTATGTGTGTTTGCAATGGTTTCTGTTTTTGATTCTAGCATCTGCAGTTTTTTTTTGTTGTTTATAACATCTATGGCCGTACAGCTGAGTAATTTATTCCCGAACCTCAGCCAGTATTACTTTCAAGAGACAGCTGTGCTCGTCAGTGATGTAGCACTGCAGGTTTCCATGAGATTTTTTGGCCCATTGCCAGAGTAATGTATTTCAGAGCTCTGAATATCTTTGTAGGTATCTCTCTTAAGTTGAATGTTTTTGTGTGATGTTCAGGGAATAAATGAGAACAAAGATTGTACAAGGTTGTTAGTGCTTTCTGTTTCCATTGCGTGGTGCAACTTGGTCCAGCTCTACTTTCATTAATGCTAATTCTGAAAAGGCAAAAGCAGAAAAACATGTGAGACCAATTTCTGGAAGAGTTGAGAAACTGCTCAGCGGCTCAGTGAGGAAATCGAAATGAGTGCAGGAAATTAGCAGGACTTATTATCAAAATCATAATCCCTGATGCCGGTGTCTCATAGTGAAAAGCCTAATCTAGTTGGTATTTAGCTCAGATGAGGGAATGGTATGAGATGGATGATCAACAGTTAAGCTATTTCATAGTATTCATATTTACCTTTCAATATGACTAAATGTAGATTTATATAAGACATTTTGTTCCCCCTTTCCCTGTTTCAGCTTCTGTATGTTATACACAGTCCTAATTAAGAAGGCAAGAAGTCTCTCAGACTTTTACCAAAACTATTCTGTGACCATCATGAGAAATTTCCCTCAACTGTCTCACACCTTTTGGGCTCGCTCTATGTGAGGAGCTGAGTGGGAGAGATTTGAATTTCTAAACCTGATGACTATGAAGTAATTTATAGCTTTTAGCTCTTATTTGTAGAGAATTTAGACACAACAGTGCAAAAGATAAGGCTGAAGCATTTGCAGCAATCTTCAGCCAGAAATGCTGAGTGGATGATCCATCTCGGCCTGCTCCAGAGTATCATAGGTACCAGTATTCAGCCGATTCGATTCATGCTGTGTAATATTAAGAAACAGTTGGGGCATTGGCTACCTCAAAGGCTATTGGCCCTGACAACATTCCAGAAATAGTTGTGAAGACTTATGCTCCAGAACTTGCCATTCCCTAATCCAGGCTCTTCCTTTAGAGTTACACTGGCATCTAGCCAACAATGTGGACAATTGCCCAGGTATGTCCTATACACAAAAAGCAGGACAAATACAACCTGGAAAATTACTGCACCATCAGTCTACTCTCGATAATCAGTAAAGTGATGGAAGGTGTCAGCAACAGAGCTATCAAGCAGCACCTGCGCAGCGATAACCTGCTCAGTGACGTCCAGTTTGGGTTCTGCAGGATCACTCAACTCCTTACTTCATTACAGCTTTGGTTCAAACATGGACAAAAGAGCTGAATTTCAGAGGTGAAGTGAGATTGACGGCCTTTGACATCAAGGCCACATTCAACTGAGTGTGGCATCAGGGAGCCCGAGCAAAACTGGTGAGTAACTCACCTCTGACTTCCCAAAGCCTAACAAAACAAATTTAACAACAAACCCTATA